CACAGCAGGTAGACAGAAGGAAAACTTCAAGGACCTGAGCAAAGATCGCCTGCTTTGTAAGAATGGAGCCAATGATTCAGACAGGGCCTGCCATCCATCTTTACATTTAGATGGCCCTACATAGAGTCAGCAGAATATCTTAGAAGATCATTGTGCTCTTGCGACCAAAACTGTTACAGCTGCATCCTACTCTATGGCATGAAACCTAATGTCATTCCCATCCCTAGCTTGTATCTGTTCATCCTAGCTTATCTTACTTACCCTTCCTACAGAATTCTGCCTGTAGTCATATGCTGCCCTCCCTTCTTAGCTAAGCCCTGGGTTATTCTGTCTTACTCTTATTTCTTCTTGCTTATTTATCCCTTAGCCTTTCATCTTTCTTTACTTACCTCAAGCACCAGTTCCAGTGTGGTGGCACCAATCAGAAGGCCGCCTTCCTTCCTCTAACTCCTATGGCATCTACCTGGTTCTTTTCACAGGATACAAACTCTCTCATCTCAGCATTTCTCAGCCATTATGAGATAAGGGATAACCTCTTGTTTGGTCCTGTTTATTTCAGTCTAGCCTCTTCTTGCAGTGACCTTCTGGTGACCGCTTTTCTAATCCCAACCTCAGCTTTCTTTTCCACTTGGTGCTCTGACATAAGGGCAGTTTTCTTCTTAGTGCGTTTATGTCAAAAGCAAATGAGACCTCTAACAGTTCAAGTGAATTATTATCCAATGCCACATCGCAAAAGTGCAAAAACCCACCTAGAACTCAGGTCTGACCTTTTCCTTCTGATGAATTTATGTGTCCTCTCTTTGTTTAGCAGGACACCCATCCTCACCACCCGTGGTGAACACCATTCATGGCAAAGTCCTGGGGAAGTATGTCAGCTTAGAAGGATTCACACAGCCTGTGGCTGTCTTCCTGGGTGTCCCCTTTGCCAAGCCTCCTCGTGGATCCCTGAGGTTTGCTCCTCCACAGCCTGCAGAGCCCTGGAGCTTTGTGAAGAATGCCACCTCCTACCCTCCTATGTAAGCCACTGGGGTGGTTTGGGGCCTCCTTCAGTTAGGAAATATTTCTGAGTGATACGGGAAGGAATCAAAACAATTCTCTGATCTACTGTACACTGTTTTGGAATCCTTCTGGAATACCTTAGAATCATTTCATAGTACCTTAGAACCATAGTAGCTTTCTAGAGTCCTCTGTTCAGCACACATGCATTGAGCCTCTCTTGTCGTGAACCTACTAGTGTGAAGTATCCATTAATCACACCAATTAATCCAAGTATCATACCTTCACCATCTAGTGTGAAGATCCATTAATGAACCAAGTTCAAATTCCTAGAATCATTGAGCTGTGTTTCAGTAGGAGGGAAAGACAAGAGAAAGCACAGAAGTTAACAAACAAATAATGTAATATGTTAGAATATGATAAGTAAGGAAAAGAGGTATCCCGGGGTTATCTACCCTAGTGTTGTCTCTCCTTTGCTGAAAATTAGTGGGGAAATGGAGGAGGGGATGCCTCTCCCAGACCTATCCAGCCACCCACTAACAACCTGAACAATGGTTTGTGTGCCCCAGTTATCCTGATTAGATGGTAAAAAGACCAGCAGTTCTATATGGCCTCGTAGCCACCCCCAGAGAACCCAAGACACTCACAAACATCAGTTCAGATGTTATTTCTCCTAAGCAAGGGATGTCTGAGGATATCTAAGATTCCACATCTGGCTGCCTTCTTTTCTTTTATGAAGTCATGTCTGCTGTCTTTAATGCTCTGATCCAAATGTAATGCATGAGTACTACAGACAAGTTAAGAAACACACAGAAGCCAATGGAAGAAAACAGAAAGCACATGTAATGTCCTATCACAAGAGAACTGTTCTTGTAGCATTGACCTTACTTTTCAGTCATTTGCCTGTTGTCTACTTCCCAAACACTGCTTCATACATTTGGACCCCTTGCTTTTGTTGACTTAAGAAAGCCTTCAGATACCACTTCTTAAATATAACACCAGTAGCACAGACACTGAGAGAAACAATTAATAAATGGGACCTCCTGAAACTGAGAAGCTTTTGTAGAGCAAAGGATATGGTCAATAAGACAAAATGACAGCCTACAGAATGGGAAAAGATCTTCACCAACCCTACATCTGACAGAGGGCTGATCTCCAAAATATAAAAAGAACTCAAAAAGCTAGGCATCAAAATACTGAACAATCCAATTTAAAAATGGGCTATGGAGCTTAATAGAAAATTCTCAACAGAAGAATTTCAAATGGCTGAAAGACATTTAAGTAATTGCTCAACATCCTTAGTCATCAGGGAAATGCAAATCAAAACAACTCTGAAATATCATCTTACACCTGTCAGAATGGCCAAGATCAAAAACACTGAAGACAGCTTATGTTGGAGAGGATGTGGAGCAAGGGGAACATTCTTCCACTGCTGGTGGGAATGCAAACTTGTACAGCCACTCTGGAAATCAGTATGGCGGTTTCTCAGAAAATTGAGAATAAGTCTTCCTCAAGACCAAGCTATACTACTCTTGGGCAGATACTCAAGGAATGCTCAATCTTACCAAAAGGACACATGCTCAACTATGTTCATAGCAGCATTATTTGTAATAGCCAGAACCTGGAAACAATCTAGATGCCCCTCAACTGAAGAATGGATAAAGAAAATGTAGCACATACATACAATGGAATACTACTCAGCAGTAAAAAACAATGACATCGTGAAATTTGCAGGCAAATGGGTAGAACTAGAAAATATAATCCTGAGTAAGTAATCCAGACTCAGAAGGACAAACATAGTATGTACTCACTCATAAGTGGATACTAGATGTGAGTGGAGGGATGGCCAGACTGCAACCCACAGCTCCAGAGAGGCTAGCTAGCAGTGCAAGACCCTAGGAGGGACACATGCATGGCTCAGTGAAGGAGAAGTGGATGAGATCTACATGAGTGGGGGGGGGACAGAGGGTGAGGAGTGAGAGATGAGAACATAGGGAAATGGGAGGGTCGAGCTGGAACAGGGACAGAGTGGGAGGGCAGGGAGGGAGATACCATGCTAGATGAGGACATCATGGGAATAGGAAGAGGCAGGGTGCTGGGGAGGCTATCAGGAATCCACAAGGATGACCCCACCTTGGAGTGCTGGCAGTGGTCTAGAGGGTGCCTGGACCAGTCTACTCTGGTGACCGGTCTAGTGAATACCCTAACTGCCATCATAGAGCCTTTGTCCAGTGACTGATGGAGGCAGATGCAGAGATCCATGGCCAGGCGCCAGGCTGAGCTCCGGGAATCCAATTGATGAGAGAGAGAGAGGAGGGATTCTGCAGGTGGGAGACATCGAGATCATGATGTAAAGATGTGCAGAGATGACTGGCCACACTGGTGGAAGCCCATGAACTGTATGTAGACTAGTGGCTGTGGAGCCTCTATGGGACTGGACTAGGCCCTCTGGATATGGAAGACGGTTGTTTGGCTTGAAATGTTTGGGGGCACCCAGACAGGGTGATCAGGATCCGTCCCTGGCACATGGGCAGGCTTTTAGGAGCACAGTGGCAGTGGTGTGATGCCTTGCATAGCCTTGGTGCAGTGAGGAGGGGCTTGGACCTGCCTAGGCTCAGTGTGCTGGGCTCTGCTGACCCCCCATGGGAGAACTTGACTTGGGGGATGTGGGGATGTGGGGTGGCTTGGGAGGGAAGGCTGGG